AGACCCCAGTGACTTTGGGAAGAGTAGTCAGTTTCGCAAACTTCGACGGCGACTGACCCGAGAGCTCCGTCGCATTAAAAATGCATGGTGGACGGAGAAGGCGAAGCAGATGGAATGCTACGCCGAACGCCGTCAACACAAGGAATTCTTTGACTCCTTGAAGGCGGTGTATGGACCGAGATTGGAGCCGCTGAGGACACTGATCGATGGTAGTTCAGGCGCTACCTGCACCCAGACTGCAGACATAATGCAGGTCTGGCGGAAACACTTTGACTGTCTCTTGAACAACCGTTCAGAGATCGACTGGCCTACATTGAACGGCCTGAAGCAGCACGATGTGAAGGCGGATCTGGCGGATACGCCGAGACTGGATGAGACGCAGAGAGCACTTGCTCAGCTACGAAACAGCAAATGTGCCGGAGGTGACGGGATCCCACCTGAAGTATTGAAACACGGTGGACCCGCGTTGTTGACTGCGCTGCACCATTTGGTGCAACGCGTGTGGATTGAGGAGGAAGTGCCTTCTGAGCTGAAGGATGCCCATGTGCTACCACTGTACAAGGGCAAAGGTAGCAAGCAATGTTGCACGAATTATCGTGGCATCAACTTGCTGTTGTGTGGGCAAGGTGATTGCCCGAATCCTGCTCAATCGCCTCGTGAGTCAGATTGTGGAACCAAACGTGGCGGAAGAGCAATGTGGATTCCGTTCGGGTCGCAGCACTATAGATATGGTGTTTGCGGCTCGTCAATTGCAGAAGAAGTGCAGAGAATGACACCAGCCATTGTACTCGCTTTTTGTTGATTTCACCAAGTCATTTGATACGGTGAACCGCGAGGCACTGTGGCTGGTGTTGGGTAAGTTTGGTTGCCCGCGTAAGTTTGTAAGTTTAATTGAATGTCTGCACAGTGGTATGCGAGCGAGGGTGCAGCTGAGTGGAGAGACCTCTGATGACTTTACAGTTGTCTTTGGTGTGAAGCAAGGCTGTGTGTTAGCTCCTGCCCTGTTTAATATCTATCTTCATGCAATGTTGTCTTGTGCTTTTGATGCGGCTTGTGCTTACGGTGTCGTGTGGAGCACCGTATTGATGGTGGGTTGCTGAACATCCGTCGTTTCGGTGCGAGAACTCTAGTCTGTGAGACAACTATCCGTATGTTGCTCTTTGCTGACGACTGTGCGTTGTTTTCACACAGCACGGATGAGTTGCAGCACATGACTAGTGCTCTGGCTTCGACAGCGGCCAAATTCGGGCTCACCATCAACACAAGCAAAACTGTCTGTCTCTTTCAGCCTTCACCGGAGTTGCAATCTTCAATATTGCCGCGAATCAGCATTGGTGCTGAAGTATTGGAAACCACCTCCCGTTTCAGCTACCTTGGGAGTGTGATGTCGACTGATCAGCAGCTACACGTTGAGTTGCGTAATCGCGTGTCGAAGGCGGCAGCAGCATTCGGGAAGCTTGAGTACCGAGTGTGGAACAACCATCAGCTTAGCATTGGCACAAAGCTGATGGTGTACAAATCCATGGTACTGTCCGTTCTTCTATACGGCAGTGAAACGTGGACGATGTACCGTCGGGATGTGCGATATCTCGAGCGGTTCCATCAGCAGTGTCTGCGACGAATTCTGCGGATCGGCTGGGGCGCCAGAGTTGCAGACACGGAAGTGTTGCGCCGAAGTGGGATGTATGCAGTGGACTGCATACTTTTACTGCGACACCTGAGATGGCTCGGTCATGTGAGCCGTATGGATTCGACGCGAATACCGAAACAACTTTTATACGGTCAGCTGAGTATTGGGAAGCGGCACGTGGGGAAACCCAAGTTACGTTACCAGGACATTATTAAAGTGAGCCTCACACGTTCTAATCTTGATTGCAGATCATGGGAATTGAAGGCGGTTGATCGTGGTGCATGGCGCGATCTAATCACGAAGGCAGTTGCTGAAGTGCGGGAGAAAGCCCTCATGCATGCAGAGAAGAAGCGGCAGTTGCGGAAGCGGCAAGCACTGATGAATTGTACTCCATCGACATCGAGCGCATTGTGCTGTAGAACTTGCGGCCGCGAGTGCCTTAGTCAGGCAGGCCTAGTGAGCCATGAGCGAGGTCACTCGGGACCACTGCCGAAGCGACGACGGGTCCCGCAGTGAACGTAGGCAGCACCGGCGCAGCGTTTGTAGGCACGCTGAATTCAATTTACTAACCGCGTGCTTGCATGCTAAGTCTCTTTATTTCAGGTGGTGGGTTTTCGGTTCTCTCCTAATGCCTTTCTTTCTCATATAAATGTCTAGTGGGCCATGCGCTGTGCCATTTGGGGCCACTACAGAAGCGACGACGGGTCCTGCAGAGAATTACGGCGAGGCGGCGCAGCGTTTGTAGGCACGCTGAATTCGATTTACTAACCGCGTGCTTGCATGCTAAGTCTCTTTATTTCAGGTGGTGGGTTTACAGTTTGTGCCTTAATGCTTTTCTTTCTCATATAAATATCTCCCTGTACTCTATTCCATTAACTTGCGCACATCGCTTCAGCCAATTGTATTCGATTTCCATAACATTTTTGTGTTCGTGGCATTCCGTGAACTATACTTTCTGACCTCGTGCACTTAGCTAGGATTTGTTTGTAATCAGCTTATTATATACGCTATTTAATTAAGGTTTATGTCACCGTTACCTTACGCATTAATCGAGTTTTTCTCTTTTTCTTTCTCTCTCTCTCAAGTGTTTGGCTGTTGTTTGATATCTTTGGTCTGGCTGCGCTTGATGTGCATGTTGACAAGGTGCCTACCTGTCTATTACCCACTATCTCGTCCATACTGGCTCCAGGAGACAGTTGGTCGTTGCTGGAGGGGACAGGGTGCACGGTCCTTGTGGCCGTGTTAGGCTCAAAGAGCGGTTCCATGCACTCAGTATGGAGCGGACTACGGTCCAGCCACCACCTTGTGTGCACTTGTTTCCCCAAATACAGTGTGCTTGTGTTTGCCTGTGAAGGAGTGTGGGCCGGCTCCGTTGATGAAACGTGGCTGCCATTCACATCCCTCCCGGTCTTATTCCTTCGGGTTTACACTGGATATGGGGTGTGTGGATGGAGCTGTGGGTGGTGCAACGCAAGCCACCCGTGGTCCCTCTGTAGGCGCAGGCGTCCTGTGGCTGGCCACAGTGACAGGCAAATCCGAAACCGGATGCCGCCAACCAGTTTGTGTCTGTAATTGTGCTGCTCCATTCTGGAATATTTGATATTGTCGGCAATGTGCAAGTAGAATATTGGTGTCCGTGGTTTGAAAAGGATTATCCGGATATCCACGGAGTAGTGTGTGTCGAGTCACGACCGCCACATCGCAGTGTTGTTAAACGGAAATTTGTGGCTTTTTATAGGGAGAACGCTTGTCAGACGAAAACCCGCCACGTCCTGGATTGCCACTATTTTCTTCATCTCGGAGAATAAGATTCTAGTAAGTTGATCTTATCATTGAGATATGAAATAAGACCAGTACTTGGAGTAGGACCGGCTTATGGTGTTTTATAGGTCACATTTTTGTTACTCTTGTTCGAGTGGTGTACGAAACTCCTTTTCTTGTCTTTTGTATTGCGGCACAATAGCTGAGGTGTTTTCCATCTCCAGCTAACGTGTAATGATGATGATGATGATGTTGGGGTACGAAACACTGTCTTTCGCTTGTCGATTAATACCAGACCTTGTTGGGTACCTGGTAACTTGGAGATAATAACGTGATAAGTGAGCTGGATGATGGAGTTACACAAGACATTTGTGGAGCAAAAGCATCTAGTTGGGGTTATTAGCGCTTGACTTATGAGCTAAAAGCTAAGAAAACGACAAGCAAATAAATAGTACGTAATAAAAACCAAACGGTTTCAATTCCGCACTGTTGATAGGACAGCACTTGTCTCGATTCCAAGGCCAGTAGGGTAGTATAAAGTCAGTATGCAGGTAGGTGTAGTTTACCATGCAAACGACAATGGTTTTGGCCCTGTTGAAGCTTTCCCTTAACATTCGGCTCAATTTCCAATTAACTAGAGTTGGGAATGAGCTAGCCTTCCATCATTCCCAAACACAGCTTCATTTAGGAGAAACTTTCTAGAACCTACGCTTGGAGGTAATAAAAGACATGCCTTCGTCACTCAGTAATCTTATAGACCATACGGCTACACCCAACATCGCGTTCGACGCAATCGGCTTTCCTTAAATCAGTCTAAACCTTGAAGACCTCAATCGACGTTTGGAATAAGTCCAGTTGGCCTTCTGCGTGGCTCATTGGAAGCAAAGCATACTATGAGGAAACAGGTTTCCTTGTTAAGTAAAATAATATTCTCCATCTGGTTTCCCCTAACGCCAGGCATGAGCACCGTCAGACTACGTTCATCATATCAGCCTTGCACTCGCCCTTAGATGTGAAATACGCGCTAAAGTACAGATACCATTTTGGACAACTATAGCTCCCAAATCAGGTACGTCAGTTTATTGGGCTCACCAAACACAAGTTCTGGAGTCCGGTATACTCTTAAGTCATTTAGGCCTCCTCAAAGCCCCTTGATTTGGTTCGATACCTGCAACCAGTTGCCAACATTACTTCGAGTGACATGCCCCAAACAGTACTGATGTTTTGCCGCCAGCTTTGCACCCAATCACTTGCGAGAATGGAAAAAACCTAATCTGAGTCCCACGGAGATTCAGTTGGTTTCGGCATCTCCTCTCCCCATCAAGGTCTACGAGGCCTACAGCCACCTTCTGCATCAGTTCATTCCTACAATGGAATGAGATTTGTTGTGCTTTTGAGGCAAGAGGAGGTTACTTTATCTTCTTAGCCCTCTAATGGAATACTAGTCAAATCGCGGATATATACTTAGACTTCCCCTTGTGAGTTATGCATTATCTTAAGCAAATTAAAGGTAGGTGATTATTCGGTGGTAAACCATCGATCGTTTGCCCTCAGCCACAAGCCACAAATATATCCAGCCTCCCAAGTCATCAAGAGAGAGCAAAAATTTCGTTAATAACGCATGTTCCAACTATGTCCAGTACATATGATGGGGGAACAGCGTTTGCATTTGTGCGGTGAACAGCGAAGTTCTCCGACTATATCTTCGTCAGTTGCGTATCTCGTCAGCGTCCATCATTTCACCCCAACGCATCCACACACCGTGTATAGAGCCAGCTCACTGACCAGCATGGTAGCACAGACCGAAAGTACGTATGACCATTGTTGTTGAACTTTGACAACGTAGATTATCAGAGCGAGAATGAGCAAAGTAGTACCACTGAGCAGCAGAATATGGCGAGCCAGCCCCAATGCTCCATGAAGTTGCCCTTTTCCGATAAGGCTGACCAGGTCGAGAATCAACACAACGAAAAGACATGCCACACCAGCGCATATTATCACACCGACTGCCACAAATGTTGATCGCGACTCATAGTAAGAGTTAAAAAGATCTCCTCCATACCATTCTGGGATAGCGACTGCTACTACTAGTAATGCGCAGGCCACCAACAATTTGATAAACAACACGAACTCGAATTTCATTTTGTGTGGAGACAGGAGACCAGGCCGACTTGCGTGAAGGCGTCAGTCGGCAGTCACAGCGATCAATAGTTAGTTTAAATATCGTAATCACGTGAAATGCACAATAGAAAGAGCGCACTGTTTTACAAGCCGAGTAGCGGTGGGTCGCAAAAAGCATATAAGATGTACAAAGTAACTGCCCCAAATATTGCATTTAGTCAGTGGTAGCTCAGCATAGTATTCATTTGCCTTAATTAGGCAATTCTTCTCATGCAGTGGTTTGATCTATCCTTTCCTTCCGTCGACCCGACCAATCCGCAGCTGAATACTTAAGATTATTGACCTTTAATTTGCTTAACGCAGTGTGATACACTAATTTTCAAAGTTAATTTCAAGTGGCAAAGCCCTTCGCAGAGCACAGTCAGTGAACTATCTGCCACATCGAGCTCGGTGAATAGAGGTGAGGACGCTAATGTTCAGGTCTTCTCGTACTCTTATTCCCAGTCTTACACGTTTTCATTCCTATCGTTCGAATCCTCATTCACTTTCGTCATCGTCCTTTTCATCACACAATACTTGGCTCTCCCCACCATGATTCAATAATCATTTGCTTTCTGGTTATGTCTCACGCAGTCACCTTGCGTCTCTCGGATCCAATCGCCAAGTCCATGTCCAACTAAGCAGACGACCTCGATGCCAAGTATTTGGAGCTCTCGATCCTCGCCAAAACTGGCACGCCCCAACGTGCACACTTTACTGCATATTAGAGCATATGTTGATCGATATCCAGTGCTTATCCGAGACCTATCTGCAAGACTCGAGTTCCGTGCTTACCTTGAGATCCCATTCATTTTACACTAACTTCAGATGCATGTTACGACTAGCTAGATTTAATGTAGCTTTAAACATTGTGTATTATTCTGAGCAAGCGTGGCTGCGACGGCTCTGCTCCATTGGATCCAAATCTATAGCAGTGTATGCCGCCCCTTTGTCTTTCCCGTTCGAAGTCTTGATGTTTAGTGTGGACAATAGGTTCCGACATGACATGGCTGCCTACCCCTACAAACTGTGGCACTGACTCAGCGAAAGATGGCTTCTATCGTCAACTGAAAGAGCTGCTTTTTCACAGAAAAAGTAAGATACTGTAGTACTGGTTGGTGATATGGGCTTTCAAGTCGGACAGTTATCTACTGATGAGCTGCATCTGGGCGGGCAGCACGTTGTAGGCTCCCCCTTACGATAACGGCAAACGATTGTTACACCTGTGTGCAGATGCTCGCTTATTTCTCCTAAGCACTAACACCCGACACAGCACACGCAACAGAATGACATGACTCACACCAGCCTCGGACCATCCATGGATGGAAATCGTTGATATCGCGGTCACTCACCGCTGGAGGGGTTAAGTTCCAACATGCTGTGGACTCGGACTATGTATTTGTATGTGTCGACCTGCCGTGTGTGTTTCGGCAGACTTCTATAACGACGCTGTGAGTACATAGACACATACCTACTGCCGAAGCTGTATGTCCTAGATACGCACAAAAATACGCTTAATTCAAGTTGAGCAAGCGCTCACTGGCCAGTTGAATGTCATTGATAGCGTGTTCGCCAGAACGCATTACCAGCAAGTGGCTGGCTTGCCGAACAACCTCCTTATGGTGCCAGCTAGGTGGTTCGGGATTAGCGCGTTCCAGTGAATGGTTCGGCGGCAGTATTCCAAGATGTGGAGGGTTTTCGCCTGGCAAGCGTTCTCCCTATAAAAAGCAACGTTTGTCCGTTTAACAACACTGTGACGTGGCGGATATGACTCGCCACTAAATAAAGTCAATGCGCCTTGCCTCTCTCTGTGTGGTATTGTTATTCATGGGTGTGTTGGGCCCATGGTCCTATGCGGTCCTAAAGGCGCGTGAATCACTTGTTCGTTCACCGGCTCCAAACGGGTTGCGATACCCTTATATCGCCCTGCTGCCTTGTAGTTTAGATTCTGGATCAAAGGCTCGGGGTGTGGCACCCTAAGACAATCCTCTAATTCGGCCTGGGCAACCGGGTAGTATCACGCCCACTGACGAACCATGAATGGATTACACTACTGCTTTCCCTCTTGCTATGTCTACTGGCTTTACTGTCTCTGCTGCTCAACATCTGCTCACAGATCGTCCCACTTGCCGTTCTTCAATTGCACCTATGTCTTCCCCGGTCACCGTCAGCAACAGCTCACTGATCGCATCTGACAGTTCTGAGCCAAACGTTTGGTGTTCTTTGCCAGGTGGTCAAAACCTCTGCACACTCAACCGGAGCTCAAGCATTCCTTCGTCCTGCTTCTACATACGGCCTTGCAACATTCACTGTCTGCACTCTGATGCAGATCGGACCACAAGCATGTCTGGCCCCGCACGTTTGAGACACTCGGTGGACATCTGTTGCCTTTCCGAAACCCGGTTGCAAGACGCCGGTAACGGCAAACCTTGACGTCAAATGACACTTGCGCCTTTCCGGAGACCCAGAGGTAGCCACCTTTGACCAAGCTAGTGTCGGGGTTGCACTGAGTGACAGAGCTGAGGTCGCTTTGCTTGACTAGATCCCAGTCAACAGTCACCTATTTGCAGTCAGACAACCCGCTTCATGTAAGTTAAGTTAGCGTCGAAATGTTACTCGTGCCTTGTTTGTCATCCCCGCCTAGGCACCTACAGACTGCACTCCGGGTGCAGTCAAGGATTGCTTTTGCCAAAGTCTACATAAGCTTCTGCGTTCTGCTAAGAAGTCTGTCATTGTCATTCTTGCCGGAGATTTTAACGCAAGAGTGGGCAATCTGCCAACAAGCGAGCACCACCTTAGGGGTAGTTTTGGCCTCGGTAGCAGCCGATCAGACAATGGAGACAGGCTACTAACTCTTTGTTCTAATCAGCACTGGTTTCTTTCGAGTACAAGTTTTCGTCATTCGAAAAGGCAGACTGCTACATGGCGTCCGCCTTTTCAAACACAAGTATGGTCCCAGTTTGATCACACAGCAATAAGCTACAGATGACACGAAAGCGTAACAGACTGCCGATCGTACTGGTCAACCTTTCTGGAAACCGATCACACACTGGTTTGCGCCAAAATTTGTATGGGTTTTGGAGGATCATCCAGACGTAGGCACTAGCAACCGAATGTCGAAACTCTGCAACATCTTGCGACGTTATCCAAGTGCCAGGCTTCTCTGTCAACATTACTTGCTTCATCCTCTGATGACGGTCTCAATTCGCAATGGATGCGCATCAAGGACGCTTTAATTTCTGCAAGTACTGTCAGTTGTGGATTTGCTTGCCACCCGCCGAACAGCTGGATCACCACTGCCTCCTTGTCGCTGATGGACAGACGCCGCTTGATGTCAGTCGACACAAGATGTAGTGAGGAATGCCGATCCCTGGATCGAGCGTTACGTATGTGCTTACAGAAGGACCGTGAGACCTGGTGGTGTGAACATGCTAGAGTGCTTGAACTTGCTAATCTCTTTTGTAACACCAGTAAACTGTTCCACCTCATCAGAGTAACTGAAGGCTTCCGATCAGGAGTAGGTGAAACAATCTGCGAAGAAGGTGGCTCCCTAACCACTAATCTTCAACGACGGTTGGAGCGATGAGCCGAACATTTTCGATCGCAGTTTTCCTGGCTGCCAGCTCCATCTGTTTCCCCTGCGGAGCGCACTGGCGATGAGTGGACTATCCAAACTGATCCTAACTCTCACCAAGAAATCTGGGGGGAACTCTGCTGCCTAAAGCGTTATAAGTCACTCGGCCCTGATGGTCTACCTCCTGCTCTCTTTAAAGAAGGGGCCCTACATTGTTTCGAGAATTCACCGCTTTGTTCCCAGAAGTCCGGGCAAAAGAGGACGTTCCATCATCCTGGAATGAGTCGGTAGTCGTCCCCATCATCAAAAAACGCCTGAGCACAAACTGCTTCAATTACAGGGGCATGTTTCGCCCCGGTCGTTTGCAAAATTCTGGTGTCCATCAATGTTCGCAGGCTATCCGTAACGCGTGAAACACTACAGCGAGAAGAACAGGCTGGCTTCCGCCCTGGTTGCGGTTGCATCGATCAGATTTTCACACTCCGCCAGATTCGCGAGCTCCACCATGTGTAGCAAAAGCTAAGGATTGTTGTGTTCCTGGATATCCGCGCTGCCTTCGATTTTGTCAACAAGGCTGAATTATGGCCCTGTCTGTTGAGGAATGGCATTTCCGGGAAGTTTGTTCCCATTCTGCGTGCTCTGTATAGTCTGACATCGGGTAGAGTTAGGGCTTATGTCAAGTTTTCGCCGTCCTTTGTTGTCACCAGTGGGGTTCAACAAGAATGTCGTATCTCTCTATTCGCCTTCACTTTTGCCATTGAAGATGTCCACAAAAATGCTCTGGACGCGTTGTTGAACGCTGGCGTTAAACTCCTCCCAGGTAGTCTGATGGTTGCTTCGGATTACGCTAATGATATCATCTTGATGGGTGACGGTCCGTAGGCCGTCTAACTTGCACTTAACCGCCTGGCGATTGTAGCGTCGAAGTATGGCATGTAATTTTCACCATCCAAGTGCAAAGCGCTTTTTCAACATTGGCATACGCCCCATCAACGAGGAGGAAACGACAGAAGTGTTACAGTGTTTCATTTACATGCGAAGCTGCATAAATGCTGTTGGGGCTGTTGGAAACGAGATTTCGTTGCGTATCTCAAGAGATCGTCTCGCCTTCTCCAGGCTAAGTCATTTGTGGCGCCGTCATGATATCCTTCTCTCCATTAAAGAACGGGTTTAAAGTGCTACTGTCCGCACTGTACTCGTGTACGGTTGCGAGAATCGGTCTGCTCGTACCGAGGACCTACGTCGACTGTCTGTCTTCGAGAACCGTTGCTTGAGGTCCATCTCCCGTCTTTGGTAGCTGAGCCACGTAACCAACGCTGAAGTCAGACAGCATGTCTTGGGTGGAGACAGCCACTCCCTCAAGGCGCTTGTCTCTCTGCGCCAACTACGATGGCTAGGACACGTACTGCGTAAGCCCGCTCAGCGTCTTCCGCATCTTGCCTTGTTCGCGGTCCCTGGACATCGTTGGAAGAGGCGGTGTGGTGGACAGCGT